CGCGGAGGGCCCTAAGCCCATCCCTGAACTATACTGAGAGTTGATGAACAGGGTCTACCTGCTGCCGACATCATTACTTTTATTAATATTTTAAATATGAAAGCCTGTTAGATGAAAATTATATTTGAAGCAGAAATATTAACTAGTCAAATTACTTGGTACACACCCCTGCATTGAAAAGAAACAACTCTACTGTTTTTTTAGAAGGGCCCTAAGCCCATCCCTGAACTATACTGAGAGTTGATGAACAGGGTCTACCTGCTGCCGACATCATTACTTTTATTAATATTTTAAATATGAAAGCCTGTTAGATGAAAATTATATTTGAAGCAGAAATATTAACTAGTCAAATTACTTGGTACACACCCCTGCATTGAAAAGAAACAACTCTACTGTTTTTTTAGAAAAATATCCTATTTCAAATTTGATCTGTGACATTTCAGATTCAAATAATATATGTACTACAGGCAGTCCCCGGGTTACGTACAAGATAGGGACTGTAGGTTTGTTCTTAAGTTGAATCTGTATGTAAGTCGGAACTGGCGTCCAGATTCAGACACTGCTGAAACTGACCGCCAGTTCTGACTTACATACAGAATCAACTTAAGAACCCCAGGCGTCCCCAAGTCAGCTGCTGCTGAAACTGATCAGCAGCTGATTCCAGGAAGCCCGGGGCAGAGCAACTCTGCTGGCACCGGAGCAGCGAGAAAGCCCCGTTCGTAAGTGCGGATCCGACGTAAGTCGGATCCGCGTAAGTCGGGGACTGCCTGTATATGCAATAACATGTCACTTACTTTTGAGATATTTTCTGCAATCTGGTAGCTAAATATTTATTTAGTTTTAATTTATTTATTCTTCTTTGAAAACCATGTTCTTTCGAAATCAGTTCACCTTATCGATAATTTTAAGTTCTGCTAGTGATTAAATTTGTATCTAGTTAAAGGGATGGGGACCTATGGCCCAGCATGCGGCATGTCTTGATCCGGCCCACGAGGCTTGGGCTCTCTCTTCCCACAACAGAGCAAGCCAGAGCTGGCTTGTCCTGCTATGGAGTCCGGAATCCCAAGCGTAACAGGCTGGATCAATGCAAGTTACAGGCTGCATCGGGCCCACGGGCTCTGCCTAGCAGGGGAGAGCAGTCGGGGAGCCTGTGGTCTGCTGGGGACGGTCCCCAGCAGACCAGGGGCACCGGAGCAGCTTACAAACGGGGCTTTCTTGCCCCGACTTCCGGGGCGAGAAAGCCCCGTTCGTAAGTGCGGATCCGACATAAGTCGGATCCGCGTAAGTCGGGGACTGCCTGTATATGTATTCTTGGGACAAAATGCTCCAGAAAAAGCATCTAATTCGTTAATCATGTAGTCCATAAAAATTTAGTGGACTACACGATTAACTGAGAAGGGCTGGCACTGCAAGCACTCAATTCCAGCTTGCGCTGTTTGGGAAAACACTTCAAACATTTATAAATTACCTTCAGCACTAAACAGTAATCTGTAGGGGCTTTGTACTTGTTCCGATAATCCTGTCCATAGTAAACATTGACATGATCTAGCTGAAGAAAGCACACGAGATCCCGCGAGACCTATTAAACATAAAAACATATATTTATATATTTAATATTATGAATAAATATTAATAAGGGACATGAAAACCACAATGAAAAACCTTGATTTAAATACTGCCAACTCTTCACTCCAAGGCCTGGTCTATGTACAAAGATGTACCAGTATTACTAACAATAAAACACTTCTCCAATTTTGTCAAATGGGGGACAAAGTGTGTTAGGACACTCCCAGCTTGGCAAGCTAAACCGATGGAAGCATGTGCCCATATGTAAAGTTGCACTTGGTTTAACTAAAATGAGTATTACATCTTTAGTCCAATCATTGAATTTTGTGTACGTAAACAACCCTTTAAACTGGAATTACCAAGAACAAAGCACATGAATGCAAATGGATGAACCAGTTCCAAGAAGCTAAAGTAAAAAACAAAACTGAACTAACCCAAGAAATTGGTGCCATCAAAATTCAATGAGAGCGAGCTAATTTTCTAAGGGCAAAATACCAGTATCTGAATTTTAACCAATAAGAGGAATAAGAAGTGAAGTATTAACAGATAAGAGGAAAATACTAGTTATCTGAGACAACCCGCCAGAACGTACTGAATGTTTAAGAGGTTTCTTATTCCACTCACAAAACACAGTATTATTAGTTAAAATGGCAAATGAATAATCAGTAAGATTAACAAACAATATGCCAAGTGGAAAAAATAAATATATTTATTTTAGAGCGTTGTGCGTCCGTCTGTCTATGAGTTCATCCATCTGTGAGTCCATTTGTTCAAGGACTCCTCCTAAACAGTAAGAAGCTAGAACCACCACATTTAGTGTGCAGTTTCCTCTTATCCTAATTTAAAGCAAGATCAGGTAAATGGGATGTGCCTGAAATGTGACTGTTTTCCACAACACAGAGAAGGAGTGGACTGAGAGGGACAGGTGTGTTTCTCAATGACCACTGGGGGCTGCAAGCGTAGGAGACAGTTCTACTGCAGAGTGACCACAGGCGGGTGGTTGCACAAGGAAAAGAGCAGTCAGACCTCCCCATTTAGCTATTGGCCATAGCTAAGTGCCCCCCGACCTCAAGCCCTGCCCCATTGCCTCCACAACACAGAGAAGGAGTGGACTGAGAGGGACAGGTGTGTTTCTCAATGACCACTGGGGGCTGCAAGCGTAGGAGACAGTTCTACTGCAGAGTGACCACAGGCGGGTGGTTGCACAAGGAAAAGAGCAGTCAGACCTCCCCATTTAGCTATTGGCCATAGCTAAGTGCCCCCCGACCTCAAGCCCTGCCCCATTGCCTG